CTCAAAGCTACAAAATAAGAAGAAATTCATTTAGGGCTTTTCTTGTAAATTCTATAACTTTGCAAGTAAAGGTCGTATATAGCTGGGAGATGTCTCATTTTGATCAGAATTTTACGGGCTACAATTCGAACTGATTAAGAAAAGTTTTGAAAGTTTTTCGGAGTTTCTAGAAATCTGGTTTTCCAGAAACCGTTTTTTTGCTAACAATAACAATGTCCAAAGTCTGGTCCACGGATTTCATACTGTCACATCACCCACAACAAGAAAAACGTTAAACAAACAAAAAATCAGCGAGGTGAGTATAGCTACCAACTCCTTTAAGGAATTTGAAAGCTGTCCTTTATTCAGGACGCTGGGCCGGAAAGGTTTAGATAACTTGCAAGATCACAAATATTCAAGAACAGTATTACTATGAACATGAGGCGTTTTTATTAAGCGTACTCTGTAAGTTTTCAACATCATGTGGTCACTTGAGCCAACTCTGAAAGCACTGATAAGAATTCTGAATCAGTAAGAAGCAAAAGAGAAGAAAAAAACTTTTTGTGAAAAGTAATTTTCAGTTTTTTCGGAGCTTATGCAAATTCACTTCTGATAAAACTGCATATCTGATTCAACTTTTAGACGGAACTGATCGTCAATTAGTGTAAGAGTTAATCTAAAAATAAAGCAGATATTATGGAATATACAGAAAAACATCGACAAAGCGATGGTCGATTTTGCAAGAAATCATTTATGTAGTTATGAATGATCAGAGGCAACAAGGAGCTACGAGGCTCTTCTGGAGAGATAGTATGACTGTATGACAAAATATTTGTAACAGTACGAGTATAGAGTAAAATACTTTTGTATTTTCTACAATTAACCATCGGTTTGCGTACAACAGAAGAAGGCTGAGGATGTTGTTTTTGCCCATGAACACACGTTCTGTCGAATTGAGTGAGTGTAAGGAGAACGATGAAAACTGTACGAATCATACTTAAATAGGGAATGACTGGGATGCATGAGTGAACATTCTCTCTGTTTCTACCGCTTATACTAGTGTCAGTTAGCTTTCGAATAATGGCATTAGTCTCCTGCAGTTTTCCGTTTCTAAATCGTCCCCAAGCTAACTACAAGACAAAAGCCCTGTGGATGTTGGTCAAACCGCTCTAACTTCTTTTAAAACTCTACTTTCTGCCTTTGGTATTCACTTGCTTGCTAAAAGACGGCAGTCAGGCAACTCAGCACTCTTCAATATTTTGAATAGTGCTCCAACGACAAAACTGTTATCAGAGATTCAAATAGCAAGTTTTGTAGAGAATTCAGTTCTCTATCGATTGAGCTTAGAACCAGCACTGTGGACTGCCGAACAATGCCTCATGAACAACGAATGAAAGTGTCCGATTTTATCTGTGCCACCCGATAGGTAGTATTTTTCTTCTAAACGTATTTTATTGTTATTATTTTTCTTATAACGCACCTATAAATTAATTTCTTATCTTTATGATTATTATTGCGCACTGCGATTTGTGTGCTTCCTCTTTTTTTGGTTCCTTTGGTGATAATTCTTATCAGGGAAAGTATATTGACAATACTAAACCCATAAAGGTCAAGTATATGACTTTTCTCTATGCTCTCACTTAGCCAATGGACTTTCATCTGTTGCGACTAAATGATTTATGACATTAATAAAGATCAAGGGTGTAACAGGAAGCCATAAACAGTTTACCTTCTCCGTATATATATATAACCTTGTGGTCCCACTTATATTTAAAAACAGTCAAAAAAGAACCGTTCCAAAGGCATAATCCACTGAAATTGGTATGTAACAGTAAACTTTCTTATGATCATAATAACTTCTTTATTTAAGTTTACGAGAAGTTTGAGCAAAACAGGACCATGCACTACTCATCTATGGTTCTCGTTGTTTTGGTTTCGTTGGTTTGCTACAAACAACAGCAACTGGTTGGTGCATCACGCTTTGGTGATGAATTATTTCAACGTTTGAAAGATGTTGGCAGTGATCCATTGACAAAATCCCTGTCGCCTCAAACATGTTCAAACGTATTCGAATTGTTATCCTATCCACGTAAAATCATTGGTATTTCAGTTCGTGATATAATGCCGTTACGTGTGAAAGTTGAAGTTCAACTGACAAATCCAGCAACAAGCAAAACGGATGTCTTTTCTGTTGACGGTCTGGTTTGTGTGTCAAGCACAAAATGAAATTGTCTACACACATTATGTCAATCTACCATACAGACCAAAACCACCAAGTGATCTGAACAGCAAATGTTACTTTACATACCAGCATGACAGCATCGAAATTCCATGCACATTCATTCTTGATCAATTCTCATGTTCAGGCGTTAATAATTTAGCACAATGCAGTAAAGCAGCACTGTTTGATCATAAATGTTCCGGAAGTATGGCGGTCGGTGTTGCGTGTTACTAAATAATGTTAAATGTGCCAATGTAACTACTTAGTTAGAGTTTTAGGAATGAAAAACTTTCGCTTTTTAAATTTAATTTTTATGCAATCAAGAATGTAATCTTTATCCTTTGTTCGACCTAAAAACGGAATGTATGAGAAATTTTATATTTTCGTAAGAAGGTAAAGAGTAATGTTAATAAACATCAGTAAGGGACCATATATAACTCGTCCCACATCTGCTGCGATGATCCTCCTACATTATCTCCACACAAGCGAAAGCACAGTAAACCAAAGTCATTCTCAAAAGATCAGGTATAAATGTCTAGGTCTATAACGAACGCTAGAAACACCTTGCACTAGAACAACTGTGTTATACTGAGTAGCATATATTGTACCGAGAGATGCAAAGTAATTATTAGCTTTTTCTCTATTGTCATCAGAATTGTTCAAGATGAGTATGGAATACGGGTTTACTTTACGTATACTACGTTGCAATGACTTACATTAGTACTGACTAACGCGATTTACACCATTTGTAGGATCAACATGATCTTTTTTCGCTTGCAGACATGCTTGATCAAATTGTTTTTACACATTTCTATAACACTGGATTGTTTCTACTCTTCTTGAATAGATGATAAAATACATTTTTCTTCTTATAAATTTACAGATCATGCACTCAATTCGTGAACCAAAGTTGATCCTTGACATTTACTTTCATTTGTTCATGATGATACATTGATCATCTAGGTCCTGTATATACTGTAACTGAATAGCATTTGACACTTCAATTTAAATCGGTCTAAAAAAGGTATGATACACATTTTGCTTTACCACCATCGATTGTATGGAAGGATATATTGGATATACATGGACAGATATATTCTCGCGTTCTGTTTCTCTGCACAGAAAAAAAAACATACGTCTCACATTATTCAGGAAAACACTGACTTGGTCAATAAAATTTAAATTATTTGTTACAAGAAAGGTCAAAGCGTGCTTGTAACAGTGGCCTTGTAGATTTCTTTTAAGAAATGTTTGAGATTTTTACTAGAGATGTGTCATCGCATATAAGTGATTTTCTTTGTTTGCACTTTTCCAACTCTTTAAGAAAACAGCGTGAAGAGAAAAAGTTGTATATCATTTTGTTTCAGTCTTTGAAGAAAAGAATATCAGTAAAATAATAGATGAACGAAACTAGAAGTAGAAAAGAACGATGCCTACTTTGGCTGTTTTCGATATACTGGGAGCAGACATCATGGAACTCATCATTCTCTTGCTTTTGGTAGATACAGCGTGACTAAATCAGTATAAAAACTACGTTTCTTTTGATGGTTTAAATACGATCATATTATATATTTGTTAACAAAATTTGACAGGTTTCTTCATGAAAGAATTCTTTATTATCAACAGAACAGCAGAAACCTAAAGAAACGTTTAGCGTTATGTGTATTGTTTTACTCAAAATATTGATAGTTCTGAGCGACTTTGTCTCGGTTTCTGCATCTTCCAAACTATATGACCAAAGGGGTGGACACATTAGAAGACTCGGGGTCTTCTATTCTGTCCTATCGTTCACACAATATTCTTCTATTGTGTTCCTTAGAGAAGTCATATTTTTCGGTAACCGCAGCAATAAAACACGCAGTTCAAAACCGCTGTATTTTACCACATTTTGTTTCGTTCAGAGAAAGAAAAATATTATTGCGTTTCAGCTATAGAGATGCATATTGAAAGAAGTACAAAAAAGTAACAAGGTTGCAAAAATTCACAAAAAGTCAACCTTTGTTAAGGGGTCTTCTAATCTGTCGTTTCCTTCACTCACGGGGAGTCTTCTGTTCTCGAGAGGTTTCTAATGTGTCCATGGATTTATTATAGGCTCACAGATATGCACCATTTACGGACCAGTTATTTCCGACTGTTTTTTGAGGCATCCAGGAAAGTTGTTATACCGCATTTATTAAGACCCACTCAGACTTGCGGGACATCTCATTCCGTGAAGGAATGTTTGTCCTATTTATTTCTATGAAACGTGAAATTAAACGTTGAAAGAGGGCAGCGATTTTTAACGAATACCTAAGGAGGCACGAACAGTTATATAATTGGTGCATGCCTACAGATACGGACTGCAGTTATGGATTTCTAGAGCCTTTTGTGTTCCTTAAAACCAAGGGCATCAACACCTGTAAACATATAACATCTTTAGATAAATCAATTGTTATAATCACTAGTTTACAAGCATATTCTTCATCATCAGTATCGCAAGATTTTAAACAAAAATAGGAAATGTTTCGAAATAATTAATATGCGTTTTAAAAACGGTGTGTGTAGGCGCGATACTTATAACTTTTTAACCATGACAGCTAGCGACCTGCGGTTTTCAGATTTAATAGCAGACACTGGCGGACGTAAATCTTTGAGAAAATTAGGGTTCCCAATCAGAATTATCATGGTGTACCATTCGAGACAAAATCCGAAAGCTCACCGTTCCCAAACCACGCTATGAAATACAATCTCAAATAATATCAATCAATAGCCAGAGCATTTCTCTTCAAAACTAGGCAAGGCCCAGATCTCCATCTCCTTTGGTTCCAGGGATACAGACGTTTTCCGAGGGCACACCTATCTTGTTCCAGACATGTCTGGGAATCTCAGAAACATGTGGATCATAAGTAATCACCCCCACTGATCATCGTGGCGATGTTTGTTTCATTCTCCACTTAACCACAACCTCAGAAAGGCCAATTTGACGAAAACCCGGTTTTTCGCCTATTATCGTCGAAAATTAAAAACAGTATATTTTCCTCATTTCTCCTCCAAAACAGCTCACATTTTCAGGGCATTCTCAGAATAGATCATAAAATGTAGATCGAGTCGAAAAAATTACATAGGGTTTTCAGTTTAAGAATACACGTTTTTAGAGGATCTCTGGCTATTGATTG